TACTTGAGAACAGATACACATGCTGCAGTTTTACGCACGTCCTTAAAAGCAGCGCATCTCGGTGTTCGTACGAGCTTAATCTCTCCCTCGACTGGCTTGTGTTAGGTTGTGTTTTGCTCTTCCTGGTGAGTTATGTTCTGGTTCGTTGTGGTTTATTTGGTCTGTGTTTATTTTGTTTAATAAAAATAGGTGTTTGCGAAGTCATTTTTTTCTGGTGTTAGGAAGAAACGTAGAAAACGCGTGATTGACATATTTACAGGGGTGACTTTAATAAACTTAGGTATTTTCTCAAACGTGTGTGTATATATAGAAGTAAAAGATATAACAGAGATGTGACAGGGGTGAGTACATTATGTAAATTTTTTGACTAATTTGTTATTTCATGATCCATCATTCATTTACAGAAGTTTTACTGGTCATGCCAATTGAGTGTACATTTCCATGCAGATTGATACCTTCATGATCATAATTAGTATCGGTATTGGAAACTCTACTAATGACAAGCACTGCTATTTTCATTTTATGATTGCGACTATCATTACAGCCAATGCTGATCTCATGTACTGGAGTGTATTACCTAATGGAATATAGTTTATCGTAGACCTACCATTACTTATATTTTTTTTTCACTTGCTTAGTTTTATTACATGATATGAATTACTATTTTCAAATTTTCAATTAACATCGTATGATATACAACAGGTCAACATAATTGCAATACTAATATGTAGATTATTGTACCATTACAACAAATGTCTTATTAAAATATGATTTAGTATAACATCATAGGAAGTGGCACAAAATAATGGTAATTTATGTTATGATTAATGCAATGTGATTTTATCATTCACCCCTACACGCGAATTGTACGAATAATTTTGATTTTCGCTCTCATGTGCAGGTCTGAAGTCCCCGTGACAAGTTTCTAGTTACTAGGAAATACTAAGACGAGAGATGGCCAGAGTTCCTGTGGCCATACAGGTGGTGGCGGCCGTGCTCGCTCTCCTGCCCTCGGCTTCCCCGCAAGAGTGAGTGGACAGGAGTTTGGTGCCGTGGTCGGCTGCTATATATATATATATATATATATATATATATATATATATATATATATATATATATATATATATATACATATATATATAGATAGATAGATAGATAGATAGATAGATAGATATAGATATAGATATATATGCATATATATATATATATATATATATATATATATATATATATATATATATATATATATATATATATATGTATGTATGTATGTATACGCATATGTATATTATACATATGAATATATATATATATATATATATATATATATATATATATATATATATATATATATATATATATATATATATATGGAGAGAGAAGGTGCATGTGTTGATATATAAAGCGATGAATTTTTATTTCCACCGTAAATAAGAATTTCCGCCAGTACCGCGTACTCTTCCTCCCCCAGGGCCCCGCCGCCGTGGGGATGGACGTGTGACGAGGGGGTCTGCGTGAAGGGCGCCGCCACGGACGCCACGACCTCCCTGAACCAGTGCAAGCTGACCTGCGCCCCGGAGAGCGTCGTGTGGCCTCGCCCCGCCTCCATCCTGCACTCCTCGGAGGTATCCTTCTTCCTGCCGACCAACGTTACACGGAGGGTGTCGTGCCAGGAGGCGGTGTGTCCCCTCCTGGACCAGGCGATTGATCTCTTCCTGGACAACCTGCAGAGGTACCACCCCGACTACGCCGGCGGGTCTGCGCCTTGGGAGGGCCCTTGGGACGTCAGCATCGTCTCTCACACTCTCGATCTGGACGTGACGATCTGGAACGCTGACGATCGCCTCCACTTGGACACTGACGAGTCGTATCAGCTGTTCGTCACCACCATCGCCGACAAAACGAACGCACAGATCGTGGCTGCCACCTTCTTCGGCGCTCGCCATGCTCTCGAGACGCTCTCCCAGATGGTGGAATACGAGGAGGGTGTGGACGCTCTCATGGTGCTGTCAACAGCCACTGTGGAGGACGTTCCCAAATTCCCCTACAGAGGGATCCTCCTGGATACCTCGAGGAACTTCTTCAGCGTGAAGAGCATCGAGCAGACGCTGGACGCCATGGCGGCCAACAAGCTCAACACCTTCCACTGGCACATCACCGACTCCCACTCCTTCCCGATGCAGCTCGAGACCCTCCCCAACATGGCCTACTACGGCGCCTACAATTCTCGATACATCTATTCCACTGCCGATATTCGGAACCTGGTGGAATACGGGAGAATCCGGGGCATTCGCGTCCTGCCGGAGTTCGACGCCCCCGCCCACGTGGGCAACGGGTGGCTGTGGGGAGAGGAGCAGGGGTTGGGCAAGCTCGCCGTCTGTGTTAACCAAGTATGAAATGGTCCAATAATTCATCCCTTGATGTCAATCTCTGCTAATGAATCTAAACACTGAAGCCACAGGTTATCAAATGGACCGTTGATGAAACGGAAGCCAGACAC